ACATGCTTACGTATAGTCACTATTTGGCCAAATTATCACCACAACATATACTAGTATTCCTATTTTAGCCTATTTTCATAATGTTTTCTCCAAACTTACACGTTAGGTTAAAATATCACAATATACAATACAAGTGCAATTCAACCATATATGCATTATACCAACTTAGTACTTGCTTTAATATTTTGACCCTTGCACATGTATCCCAAAACATACATTACTAGGATAAAATATTAATTACACAACTCATACAAGTACCATACAAAACATAGGATATTTCTAATTGGTAGCCATATAATTACATATACATTCATGGACACAAAACTCAAAATAAGGGCATTTCTAATAGTATACCAGCTACTCTTTACCAGGCTCCTTTCCTTTTCTCCTCTCCATCTCTAATCCTATAAAAAGTAACCACGAGCTAAAATAAAAATCTCAATAACCAAGATAATTTATATTGTTAATTAACATGAAAACCTATAAATAAGTAATTTTAAAAGATACATAATCACATGTATATGTAATGAATCATAACACCACTATAAAATGTATGATTATGATTTCCATCTAGACCTCCTCTACTTCCAATTGAATCCATTGGCTTTAACATTAGATCAATCCATCTTGGTTTATATGTCCACCTCCAGTAGAAGATTACCCTGCCAAAGGCTTTCCCTCACTTCTGGAGTATAGATTCCACTAATACCATAATTAGGTTGTCATATACATGGATTCTCCCAAACCTCCTTAGGGGACACACATATTCTTTGATTCCCAAACCTCTTCAAGAATGTGGAATGCATAATATAACTGTCCATACATTTATGGAGCAGTTATAAACTATATGGATTCATTACTACATTTCTCCTTCCAAGGTGAACTCTCACCCATATCATGATTTTCATTGCTTATGTAGTATGATATTGTAAATGTCCCAAGAGGGGGTGAATTGGGCTAATTAAAAATTATAAAAAAATTTTTTGCAGTAATAATCAAAGTAATAAAGGAATGAAATCACCAATTATAAGAGGTAGAAGAGCAGAGTTTGACATGAATGATTTATCTCAATTTAACTTCTATCACTTGAGTCTATGTCCATTCCCCAAGAACCTCTTGAGATTTTTAACTATATTACCAAGATTAATCTAAGCTCTTGGTTACCTCGATACATCAACAAACTTCACAATAATTCAAAAATTCTCCCCCTACAAAGGTAACGATAAATCCCTTTAAGCGCCTCGAGTTTAAGTTCCTCTATTTTGAGGATGGAAAGTAAGGGTGAACAGAGTAAGTTCAAGAATGAACTACCACTACTTTAAACTCTCTCTAAGAATAGATATATAAACAATGAAATTCTTAACAAATAAATGATGCACAGAAGGTAGGTAAACTTTAATGCTCAAACAATCACAAAGTTTTTCTTGTTGGCTCATATTTTTTCATTCTTCTACCCAATTTTCATAAATGAGTCTATTTATAATTGAGAATCATAAATGATCCATTAGACTTATAAATTTTTCCATTGAAGGTTGCTTGTATTATATTTCCTTCTTTCCTTCATGTTTTCCTTAGATATTCGAGCTTAATTGAGGTTCTCTAATAGATGACATAACAGAATAGTACTTTACAGTAGAGACTTCCTTTATCGCACAGTAATGGCTAAAAATATTAAATGCTTCTAACAAAAATAAATAAAGTTTATATTTCACAGTGTAATAAAAGGCAAAGGAGATGAATCAAGAAAATATAAGCAAAATGAATTACTTCAAAGAAACAATTATGTTTGAATATCATTCAATAAGGATTTAGAATAAATATAATTGATTGCAGATGAAAAGAAAGGCTGAGAGATGAGTTTCAGTGATATTAAAAAACATCATGAACAATGGAGCAAGAGAGAGCAAGGTAGTACTGGTGTTATAGAGTGTCAGCATCGGTGCTAGTGTGATGAAAAAGCTTTGCTAAACAAGCTTAGCACAGGTATTATTCGGGCAGTAGCGGTGTTATTTATCTTCATAAAAGACAAAGATTTTTAACAATATTTAGTGAATAAAGAATATTTTTAAACAGACAACTTAGCATTGGTGTTAGAGAAAATAACACTGAAGGTACATGATAAACACAAAGTCCTCTCAAAAGAAGAGAAGAGGCAACACTAATGCTATACAATTAGCACTGGTGTCACAGATAATGTTCATAATTTAGTACAGGTGCTATTGGATAGCACAAGTGTTATATTAACTTAGATAAAGACACAGGTAAAGAACAGGACCGATGTTATATAAAAAGTACCAGTATAAAGAAGAGTGATCAACTGATAGAAAATCATTTGCACAGATACAAAGGGGTAACATTAGTGTTAGAACAGTAGGACTGGTGTTAAATGGCAAATGAAACAAGAGAGAAATAAGGAGTTGAAGAAACAATTCAAGTAGCACCAATGCTAAGGCCACAGTACCGGTGTAAAGGACACTTAGAAACAATTCCAGAATAAGATTGTATCAGGATGCATCAAGCACACAAAATATATAGTTAAGTCAAATACTTAACTCAGGGAGAGGTACTTAGAAAGAAGAATTTCTATTACACAAATAAGCTTACACTTAGTTAGTGTAGATTAATGTTAAGCCGATCAACTTTAGTTAAGATTAAATAACCTGTAACATACAAACTTCTCTTTATTTTGTAATCATCAACACTAGGGTTCAACAGATATTGCCACTAGATCATACATAAAAATTCACCACATAACCATATAATTTCATCATATATTTAGATTGGTACTAATCATCCCATATTTATCAGCCAGTATCATTTCACCACATATTTTGTTGAAAACATGTCATGATATGCTTTTTAAAAATCATATATATAGTAGATGTTTATAACTCCTACTTAATTCACAATTTATCATGTAACTTTACTCTTTTCTAAAAAAACTTCCCAATTTTGTAAAACATATGCATGCATGCATGCATACATGCATACATACATACATACAAATATATAAATTATCTAATATGCACATGTCATCCAGTTGCAAACAACTTTATTAGCTAACAAATAACATAGATTATCTCGTTACCTCAATCTTTTTAGCACAAAAAGGGTTACCCTATGCGCATGCTCTTATCAATTCGCTACCCTCGAGGAATTCCCAACTACCAAAATTTATAATATAAAGTACCATATGTTAGTTTATTAACTTAATATAAGTACTCATTAGCTAAATTCTAATAAATTTAGCTACTCAAAATCCATAACTTCCATAGTTGAGCTATTGAAAATTACAACCAACTCACCCCATCTCCTCTAACTCCCTCTCAACTAAATCTTACACTTAATTAATTTGTCCCATGTCAAAACCCTAAAATTTAGTTAGGGTTTAATCAAATTCCAACCTCCAACCACTACATTTCATAAAACCATTTGTCTTAAGTCTGAGAAACTTAGATTAGGCTATTAAAATTACATGCAAGCCTTTAAGTATGGATCTTTAGCTTCTCCAACTCATATAAACTCTTCTCACTCCCAAATCTCTCAAAAAACAAGATGGAGATGTAGAAGAGAATAGTAGGAAGCTCACCCAAAAGTTTGAAAGTCCAAATTTGCTTCCAAGTTCACCCTAATTGAAGCCCTAGCAAAGCATATTATTTTTCTCCTTTGAGCTTCCCAAAACATAAGCTTTCTTATAATGTTGAAACTTTGTCATAAGCCGTGACATGTGGTACAGTGAGCAAATTCTCACTTTGCCTCATGCCATTCAGACTTGATTCGATCCAACTTCTATCTTAGCCCAATCTTAAAGCTATCCATGATCAAAAATATCAATTAACAACCCAAAAACATGATTAACTTAATTAATTCACTAATTTACTAATTTAACCTTAATTATCAATTAGATTTTTGAATTAAAACTTAGAATGTTACAGTTTAATTATTAAATATGTGATGTTATAATTGTAAAATATTGAAGTAATATTTATAAATTACTGATGAGGTAGTTATATATAATTAATGTTAAATTTGTAAAAAAATATTTAAATTAAAATCATTAATATCAAAAAGATACCTAAGGATTTTAGAGAAATTATAGCATTTTGAGAGATCTAAGTGTCATTTATATATTTTGGCAAAAGTTTATTGTCATTTTCCCTTTATTTTACCCTGTATTTAGTTTTTCTCCTCAATTGTATTGTACTCTCTCAATTTTCAAATATTGCAGAAAATAACAAATTTATGAAATTTAAGAAAATTGATTAAGTATAATAATTATATCTAAAATTCAATTCTGTAATTAATGGAATAAATTTATCCAGTAAAAATACACATTCAATTTAAGAGGGACAATTTGAAAAAATATATATAATAAATAATTTTTGAAATTTATAGTTTTACTTATAAATAAAAATTAAAAAAATATAAGATAGTTTTTCTTATATTTAAAAATGGAAGGAATAATATTTTGGCTTGGAGATAATAGAGGCAGAGAGAAGAGGCAGACAGAAGGCAGAGAGAAACAGACTAATTCATTTTTCATTTACCAAAGCCCCATCATAACCTAGAGCCCTTATTTGTAGAGAACATGTTTAAATATTGAAATTATCTTTTTATTTTTAATTTCCCCAATTCTCCTACTATTCTTTATTCTCATGTATCAATTGTCCTCAAGGATTAGTTCAAAGATGGAAAATAAAACATATATATAAAATTAAGACTTCTTTTGGTGCCACCTCCTCTTGAGCATTTTCAAATACTTCTGCTCTTCAACAATTAGGGAGAAGACCTGCGAATCTCGGCAACGGTTTGCGCTGCCGTACTTGTTGCCACACCAGTAGCATAACCCCTAATGCCTTCAATCGTCCATTTCACGCTTTGAAAGTTGTTTTGAGGGCCTAGAGGACGCTACACTAGATACGCTGATTGAAGGGTTTTGTCTGGGCTTGTCTGATGATGGGCTCGTGGTGGGTATGGGTTAGTCACCGAGTCAATGGTGGCCATGGGCTTAGCAACCGGGTTACCCTCATAACCCGATTGGGAGGAGACTGGAGGGCCGAGAGATCGCAGAGAACCCGAACGCAGAACTGAGAAGTCGCTGTCGCAAGGGGGGCGTGTTCGTGAATCGCGCGAATGGCTACCGTTTGACGTCGGGCCCATTTCATTTCTCCGGCCAAGGCTTAAAACGCTCTGTCGCACGTCAGTCCGCAAGCCTCCAACGCGGGAGAAGCAGTCGATCTTCTATTCGATTTCGGCTTAAAACCGGTAAGCAACGAGATTATTGAGTTGTGTTAAGGGTTAACGATGGAGGTTTCGGTCTTCCCTGTTTGACGGATAGGTTACGATTAGGCTTTGAGTTTGATTTGAGGATTATTTCGAGGTTCTTATACATATTGTTGGTGACCAGGGTCTTGCTCTCTAACTTCACATGCCTGAACTGTTACGGTTTCAAAGAGCATTGTCATCTAGATGCTTTCAACAGCTTCTTGTTACTTCTTTTACATCCTTATTCTGGCATCTCTGTTACCAAGAAAATTGACTTTTCCTTCTAAGCACGCTACAAGCAATAAAATTTTTTCCCTTGTTCATGTTGGCATATGGGGATCATTTGCTATTCCTTCTGTTCACAGCTTTAAATATTTTTTCGCCATTGTTGATGACTTCTCTAAATATGCGTGGGTAATGGCCCAAAATACAAGTTATTCGTTTGGATAATGGCCATAAATTTCTCATGATCTTTTATGAAGCTAGAGATATTTTACTCTGAAGTTCTTGCATTGAAACTCCTCAACAAAATGGCACTGGGGAACGAAAACATCAATACATATTAAATGTTTCTTGAGCGTTACTTTTTCAATCTCACTCCCTAAAACCATATTGGTTCTGTTCTATTTCTCATGCACTCTACAATATCAACTGATTGCCTTCTCCACTATTATGAAATTCTGCCCCTTTTGAGCTATTGAGTGAGAAACCACATTTAACCATCTTAAAGTCTTTGGTTCCTTGTGTTTTGCTTCTGCTTCATCTTGAAATCGATCCAAATTTGGTTCTTGGGCTTGAAAGTGTCTTTTTGGGTCATAAAACTGGCACAGAAGGTTCCACACAACGAAAACAGATTCATTTCCAGACATGTCATATTCTATGAACATTATTTTCCTTTTGATACCCTTTTCTCGTGAGCATTCAACAACTCCATTACCACAGACCTTAAACTTTTTGGACTTTCCTGATCCTTCCCAACTGATTTCCCCTACAATAACAGAACCTCCCCCAGAATCTCCCACTGTTTCAGTTTCACCACCACCAATCCAAAAATTCATGCACGCACATAAGTACAAAACACATCATGATCTGCTGGAGTATCATTGCTCACTTTAGGCCTCAGCTCGATCATTTTCCACTGGAAGAGGTCATCTCTATCCTATGTTGTCTGTTTTTCTTATACTAATTTTCCCTCTTATCACAAAGGCTTAACCTTATCTATCCTGACTCACCATTCACCAAGAACCCAAAACCTATAATTAGGCAGTCAAGCATGATGAATGGATAATGCTATGGCTGCTGTAATTAGAGAACTTAAGCTGAATTAGTCTCTTGTGTCACTTCCACCTGGCAAGCAACTCATTGGTTGCAAATGGGTTTATAAAATCAAGTATAAAGCCGATGGTACCATTGAGATGACAAAACATGTTGAGATTGATTGTCACATTATTTGCAAAAGAGCTGCAAGCTAAAGTCATCCATCTCTTACATATTTGTTCCTCTGCTCAGCTAGTTGATGTATGTCCATGCCACATTTCTGTCCTTAATTTCTGCTGAAGTGATTCATCACTACACCACTTGTTGTGTTCCATTTCTGTCCTTACTTTCCAGGCTGGGTTTGCATGATTGATATTCTTGCTTTAGATTCCCCTAGGGGGTGAGGGTAATAGAGTTTGTTTGCTTGTTAAGTTAGTCAGTTAAGACTTCAATTTAGTTGTTATTCCTCTGTATATGTACAATATAATCATAATGTAGAGCATCTTCTTTGGCACCAATGCATATTTGTATCAGTTTTATTCTTCAGGTTAAGTGCATTCAATCTTGTGGTTGTTGGTCCGAATCAGATGGTGCAAGCAAATGAATTCTAAGTGAGATTTGGCCATTCAGTGCTGAGCCATTATGGAGTCAAAGAGACTCCATGCAAGTTGTTCTAGGAACATTGGCAATGATAGTGTAAACAAGTTAAAGATGGTTACTCGGAGAGAGGTAAACCCATTATTCATCTTTAATCCATTTCATATTTTTGTGGTTTCTGAAATGCCATGGTTCATTTTTTAGATTCTTGCCAAGAAGAAAGCCATTCAAGAACTCATTAAAGCAGCATATGTTGTGAAGGACCATATTGCTTTTTCCCCCTTGTTTCACCATTATGACAGAAATGGTAAGAAATTGGAATGTACTTTAATTGTGCATATCATAAAATAGTGGTTATTCATGGTTGTAATTATCATTAAACCTAATTTGGTTGTGTGATTAAATGGATATTTCTCATCATATTAAACTATGGTGACTTTTACTTATATAAAAGTGGATCATTCATGATACAAAAAGGGACAATTATAATAGATGAAATGCTGGTTCAATAAAACTTTTAACTAGGGAACAAAACTATTGCCCAGATTTCAGAAAAATGCTACTCATTCTGTGTTTGGTTAACTATTCATTCCTAAATTACAAGGCCACTCCCTTAGATTGTAGATTTGCAAGGAAGTTATATAATGATCAAAATTCTTTTATCACCAGGAAGTTTGATTAATTTACTTACGATCTTCTAAGTTTCAAATTTGAATGTCTGTTAAATAAATTTCAGGCCAGGAAATATGTTTGTTTAGTAAATAGTTGTTTCATTGGAGTTTGGTTTCCAGCTTGGAGTTTTTTGCCTTATACGGATTTTCTCCTGTTATTTATGGTTTATTGCTGTTAAACAGTCTCTTAGCATTCTGTTTTTCACATTGCATTGCATATTGTTAGATATCTTGGTATGTTTAACATGAGAATTTGGAGTCAAAGGAATTTAGATGAAGTGAGGAGAAAGTGAAATTCAGAATAATCACTGTCTCTCACCAATGGGGTTTGGGTCTAGGAAAAAGAGCTAGTCGCTCACAATGTGGCAAACCTATTTGGAGAGGTGCTCATATTTAGTACCCGTCCATGCTTTGAATAGGATTGCCTCAAATAGGGAGATAGTTGTGAGCAATTAAAAAAAGAATAATCACTGTCTTAATTATCGTTGGTTTAGGGGGTGAATTGGAAGTTAAAGGAGAACTGGCAATTAGAAGGTATAGTGGAATAGTAAGTGTGATGGAACTTGAATTTCACCATTATTTATGTGGCAATTCCAGACCTTGGCCAATGGGATGGGCGTGCACAGTTACATTGATCTAGTTTCCTGTATGTGGTACTAGAAATGGATTCCAGAACAGAAGAATCAAAACGGATGCATAGCATGCCCTCCTCTTGGCATTTGAGAGACCAGGATACTCTCACCTGAAACTAGAAACTTGTAGTATTCTCATCTTTCTCTCTCTTGTGTGTGCGCATGCCTGAAAAAGCTAGTTACATGAAATCCTCCCTATTTTGCCTTCTGCCAGCTCACCCTCTTTCCCTCTTTGGGCCTGCTTCTTCCTTCTAGTATATGTGAGGCGCATTTTGCCTTCCTCTGGGATGCTTTCCTTTTCTAGTATAAAATCTCCCCCAAAGTCAACAATTTTCATCAAAGTGACTGGAGGAAGTATGGAAAAATTAGCAAAAGGGATCTGGAGAGAATGCTAACCTCTCAAATGCTGTCCGGGATCTGTTGTATCTGTTTTTGTCTTTCTTTCTGTGCAGCTGCTGTTTGTGTGGCTCTATTGTTAGTTTTCTGTTTTGGAATTAAATTGTGGTTCTTTGTGAATTAATTATTGTGATTCGGTGAAGGAGCATTGTTCTGTGTCAATTTCCATCTTTGTCTATTGTTCTGTGTTAAAATTTCTTTGAAATACCTGTGGATTCTATCACATTTTCACTTCCTCATCTCTCAGCAAGTTTCACATTTTGATCATTTCTGTGCTTCTTGGCACCCTCCACATCAATATTATGTTTAGGTCTGTCTGTGAATTTGGAATCTGGGCGTGGAGATAAATTGTCCGTTACTGTTAAGAACTACATTCAAAATCTCCTCAAGGTAGAAGTAGTTGTCAATAATCCCCTCCCCGTTCTCCAATTTGTTGAAACTTCAATATTTTTGAAAATGTCTTTTTCTCTCCTGTTCATGGCCCTGTCTGTGTGTCCTTTTTTTTTTTTTTTTAAGTATGAACTCCAGTGTTGCAATTAGCTTATTCATTATAAATGGAAAATGTATCTAATTTTTCTTTCCCCTAACTACAGCAAAACATGGAAGGACATTATGGTTCTGAGTGGCTAGTGGAAGAAAAGGTGAAGCGCAGAGAAATGGTTGCTCCAGAAGCACGTTATATATTTGTGCAGGAGGGCATTGCCAACACAAATTTTAATAAGAAGACAATGGAGTTAATTGCAGGAAAAACTTCAACTAGTTGTTTAGAAAATAATGGCCCCTTGGTTGGATTTGTACATTACAGATTTATTGTGGAAGAAGACATGCCTGTGCTCTATGTGTATGAATTACAGCTTGAGCCTCGTGTCCAGGGAAAAGGACTTGGAAAGTTTTTAATGCAACTAATTGAGCTAATAGCCCACAAGGTGCTGATGCTTTTTTTCCTCGCTCCCCCCTCCCCCCTAACACACACGTGCACATAGAGAGTCAGAGGAATGTTCTTTGGTGAAAGTTTAGAGGAGTAATTAGTAAGCATCAGATTACAAGTTAATGGTCAAAATTCAATATTGATGCCAAAATCAAAGAAGATATTACATATACTTTAATGGTGGGATTTGGATCATATATATTCAATGTTTTCATTTTATATCTTGGGATTTTACATCTCCATTTCAATATGCAGGCATTTTTCTTATCTTATTAGATTTCGATGAACATGATTATATCAGGACTGCAGTCCCTGATCTGCTCTCCTCATTTATTGCAGAACCGTATGGGTGCTGTCATGCTAACTGTTCAGAAAGAAAACTTGTTTGCTATGAATTTCTATATAAATAAGATGAGGTATGGCTTATGAATGCCATCAAATTATATTCCTTTCTGAAATCACTAATTAGCGAATTTGAAAAGAGTGGAAGAAAATGGATTCTGTTTGTTGGTCATATCATAACACCATTGTTCTTGTTGGCTCCATGAATTATATTTCAAGGGGGAAACATTTCATCGAAATATAGTTTGTCATACTGCATTTTTTTTTTTTTAATAATGAGTTGGGCATATCTTAGGATAAATTAGATGTTTGAATCTTGACGAAAAGCATGACTAATGATATAAGGGCTAGTTTAGAGGAAAAAATTGTGGATAACTGAAAGATTGATTTGTTGTCAAGGATTATTGCTGACCATATTCAAGTCACAAAGGTTCAGAAATAACTATGTTCTCTGTTGACCTGATAACTATATGCAGGAATCCTTTTGGACAATTCGGTGATTACAATTCTTTCTGCATCTTGTAATATGACATGTCTTTGTAGTACTACTTTTGCTCTTAGGTGACATTTACTTAGAACTATCCCATCCATGGAACTATGGAAGTCCTGATCATTTTTAACTGGAATTTGCTGTTATAATATGTGGGTGAATCCTAACCGTTTCTAACTATATTTTCAGCTATAATTCCCAGTTCTTCTCCATGTTACATTTGTCTTCTGTTTAATCATCGAATTGTTATTTATGTGCTGCAGATATAACATATCAACTATGTCACCATCAAAAGTTAATCCAATGGTATATTGCTATTTTTCTGTTATAATGGCATAATGCTACCTATATCACCTTATATATTTTCTACTCTAATAATTTGCAATATCATACCTTGTGCAGATAGGGATTGAGAGCAGTTATGAAATTCTTTGCAAAACATTTAATGAGGAAGCTAAAACTACATTGGAGGTAAAACACTGACATACCATGATATTTGTTTCATCAACTGTCTGAATCTGAAATTTCTACAACAGCTTTTTCTTTCTGCTGTTTGTCCTTTAATGCATCCTTGTTTCATGTCTTGCACTAGTTGTGCCCAAAAATGATGTTGGTAACAAAATGTTTTGAGGCTTTTTAAGTTTTTGCTGGCTGGAATGTATGTGTCATGTATGCCAAGCTTGTCAATGCGAAGCTGATGGGGAGTCCTGTGGGGGATTTTTGAATGCATCTATGCTAACTGGTCCTTGGAGCTTACAAAATTGATGGAAATTATAATTTAGAATTTTTTTTTTAAAACCTTTGCTATGTTTTTCTTTCTATGAAAGAATTGAATTTGCGAACTCCCTAATTTTGTTGTAGCATTAATGTGCTGTTATAGAAAAATGTTGAGGTTAATAAATCAAGGCTCAGGCTCAGGCAGCTTCTGTGTTTACACGGGCTTGTTATATATAATGATCAAATAATTTCTCTATTCTTTGCTCAGGCTTGTGCTATTGTGGGGATTAAAACAACTGCGAAATTGACATTTCATCTGAGACTTTTTTGCCCACAATGATATCTATTATTGTTTTCCTTATCCATATAGCCTACTTTCTGTATGCAGGATCCAGGATGAATTGAAGGAAGTTATTTATCATGTTCGTCGTTATAACCTTTCAACTGTATGAGTAATTGAAATTACTTGTTCTCACTATCATGTGATGATGTGAATCTGTTGAATTCTTGTATGTTGCTTTCGTCTCCTTAGTGTTAGTGAAGAACACGAGGTTGATGGAGGACGTATTAGTGCTGAAACTCTGAAGTCGTCCATTTTATTGGTATCCCATCACCTGAATGTGGAAATCTTTTATACATTGACATGATTTTAGCTGTATTTTTGCACGGTTTTCTGTGTAGCCTCATATTTGGAAAAAAAAACAAAAAACGAAGAACATTGGTGATATGCTAATTATTTTTTCATGAAGTTTGAACTGTTGTTTATTTCTTGTTCTCCCCACTGCCCAAGAAAAAAAAAAACAAAGCTAATGTTTTAAGGACAGGATTGAACAGTCCCACCAGTTCAACTGTTATCCATTCTAATAAACAGCTCAGTTTCATGTTTAAACCCATTTCCACTGTGTAAAGCAAAGTGAGGTGTTAGCAAGGAAAAAAAAAAAAAAAGTGTTTTGAATGTGCTGGATTTAAAAATTAGAGTTGAACTGGAAAGTGGATTGGACCGGGTTTCTAAAGATCAGATTCAATTTTCTTCCCAAAAATACCCTTGTTATTATGAGTTAGGAATTTACTTTCAATGCTTTGGAGTTTGTTATTAGTGAGTGAGCTTTATTAACTGATCGTGAAATTAAAGTATTTAAACTTATTTTTACGTTATTTAATAATTTGATTTGATATTTCATTTCTTATGTCTATTATTATGTGATAATTTTTTTGATTTAATTATTTTATCATATGTTAACAAGTGGTTGATTAAACTCGTGACTTGACCTGACGATATATCCGTTTAAATGATCTGTTTGGTTTCTTTAATATTACTTAAAATGCATCCTTAAATAGGGGTCCTTTGTTGTGGTTTGTCTAAGTAGATTCATCCAAAAGTCAGAGAGACGCCAAGCCAAGGTCAATGGGAAAGTCGGTAATTCAGTAGGGTTGTGTCTGCTCAGGTCAGACTTAATTTGTGTCTGCTCAGATCAGACTTAATTTGTGTCGGTTTAAGATACTTGAACATATAAAAGGACTTGTACAGTCAAATTTGACCTTTGATACTTTTAGAATTTTGAGCTTATTCTGCGAATTTGAACACTTCAATTCTTTTTTAAAAAAATTATATGCTTTTTTGAATCCCATTTCAATTTTTACCTTTAAAAATTAAAATTTTTCAAGCAACTAGTACTATAATGATCTTTTCTACCTTTATTAATGTAAAACCTAACATTGAAAGAGTAAAAGTAAAAGTGTTTGAAGTAACATCTTTTGTGTTTATTTTTTCTTAATATTTTCCCAAAAAAAAAAAAACAGTTCAAAACAAACCGTCATTGAAACACTGAAATGTTATTTAGGAGTGTGAATTTAAAGACAAGGGAAAGCGTTTTTAATTGATAAGTTTTTTTTTTTTTGTGGTAAAGTTAAAATGAAAGTTAACTTTATTTTAGTAATAAAGAAAATTGGACCAGCCCCATTCGATTAGTTTAAGCCTGGGGTAAAAACAATGTCTGAATCCTTAAATTTAGACCTAAAATTTTTTGGATTTATTTGATCCGCCATACTCATTGATACTATCCTAGTCCTATTTATAATATATTTTTAACATATTTTATTAAAATAAAATTTAAAATTCATTAATTCTGTCTAAAAATTTAATAATTTCTTAACTTTACTCTTATTAAATATATATTTTAATAATAATTTTTTTTTAATATTTAATGGAGGTGAAGTAAGAAAATTTGCCATAAATTGACTTGTAGAAAAGATTAAAAAAAAAAAAAAAACTATCTATCTTATAAACAATATCAGTGAGCAAGCAGCACGCCACACGTACGGATTACAGTTACGCTCCCAAAGTGTGGGGCCCACCGTCCGCACCCCATATTGGGTAGCCTCAGCGTTGGGTCATTCTCCCATGCATGGCATATGTGAATGTGGGTGGGGGAGACGGAATGCTTGGTGGTGTCATAGAAGGTAAGTTTTGGGTCATGTTGAAGCAAACCACACGTGAAATTTCTGTCAAGAGTAGAAGTGCGATGAAGATAATGCTAAGAAAGAAGGAGAAAGGGTTTGATTAGGCAACTTGGATTGGTCACTGCATTGATGGGTATTAAGATTTTTCATGTTCGAAAAACCAACGGATGTGTTCTTCTAGCCCAAAGTAGAGCCATAGCTCGTGAGTGTGAATTGTGGCTCTTCTTTCCTTGAATATTATAAAGTTTTTTTAATTAAATTATACTCTCTAATTAATTAATTAATTATCTTTTAAATCACACACACTTTTTTTTTTATTTACTCTTCATTAAAGTATACTCTATTCATTCCAAATTATAAGACAATATTGGGAGAGATTTATCGTTCCAAACATTTTGAGAATATTAATATTTTATTAAATAAGCTTATTTCAATATTATCATTTATCTCTCTCTATTTAATATTAATTAAGTGTAGATTAAGTTAATCAAATGAAGGATATTATTTAAAATTTATATTTTTATTTTTAAAAAATAAGATTGTTAAGTGTATTTAATGAGGTTTATTGGTATGTAAAATTTTATCTAAAAATATCTTATAATTTAGAACAGAAAGAGTACGTTCAATCCTTTAATTTTATGCAAGGTTTTATGTTAGTCCCGTAATTTATAAAGTATATTTTTAGTCTCTTAACTTAAACATTGTTAGTTTTATTAACAAAAACTTTCTACGATGAATATTTAAGTATTGACAAAACATTCTCAAATATTGATGTATTAAATTTAATTTTTTAAAATAATAATAATTAGGACAAAAATAACTATTTTAAACTAATAGTATTAGGATTAGAAGATTAAAAAGATACTTTATAAAATTAAGGAATTAAACATAAACCTTACATAAAATTAGAGGACCAAATGTATAATTTAGCCTTTACTCTTCTTTAATAGGGTGTTTCAATTAAAAAAATATTTTCAATTACACCCCTAATTAAGGGCTTTTTAAAAAAACTTATTAATCATATCTTGATTGATCAAAAAATGTCTTATAATATTGAATAGAAGGAGTATTGTCAATGTTTTAAAAAAAAATACATACGTAGTTATTATAAGACACCTACTAAAAAAAATGGATTATCCTTGTTATGAGTCACTTGATAAGATATTGATTAAGATTTTAAATATTATCCTTATTTATTGTCATTAATCATGAGAAAGTATATAATGTAAATATAAAAATTTTATATTTAAATATGGGTAAAATCAAGAATTTATTTTATGTTTAGAGGAAATTAATGACTGTACTAGTGGCATAACCACATTAAGTTAGGTGACAAATGCACCCCTCAATTTGGGAAATATTAAAAGTTTGGTATACAAATTTTAATATCTTTTCATTTATGGTCTTGAAATTTTGAATTACACTCCCTTCGATAAAAAATATAATGCATTTTTTTAGCATTAAATGTTACAAAATGTAAGACATTTTGAGTCTTTTAATATATAATTATTACCTTTTTTTACAAAAACATCCATATTAAATAAATTACTTTATATTTTTTAGGGTGAAATACTTTATTAAATAGAGATAGATATGAAAAAATAGGTTTAATTTAAAGATAAATAACTACTTTATTGGGGGTGAGATTTGATTAAAAATACCTTATATTTTTTAATAAAAAGAGTAAATCATAAGTTTTGACATTTTTACACCCTGTTCTTGGGTTTTAAAATATTAATTGTGCCCCCTCATAATCATATTTCTTAATTTTGATGGGATAGTTAAATATGTCTTATAATAAAAATAAAACGATTTAAAATATGTTTTCTTTTAATATGACTATTTAATTAGGTCAGATTCAAATATTATCAAATCTCATTAAAAGTAGTTTTTCTAAATTTGTTTTTTTAAAAAAAAAACTCACCCAAGATGTCGTATTTAAAAAATATATAATTTTTTGATATAATTCCATAATTTTATTGGAGTATAATTTTTTAGCACTTCTCTCAAGATTTTAAATGTTAAAAGTAAATGAGCAATCAATATTCACTAAAATTTTAAAAAAATTTATGATAAACATAACTTTTGCTCCCTGTATTTTACTCGCATTTTGTTTTTGATTCCTATATTTTTTTTTTCAATGTTTTAGGTCCATACACTTTTATTTTTTATTATTTTGGATTCTTCTAAGGTTCCTATAATTTACTCATTGAGGGATTAAAAATAATAAAAAATAAGTAGGAACTTAAAACATAAAAAAAAAAATATAGGGACCAAAAACAAAATGTGAGTAAAGTATAAGGATCAAAAGTTATGTTTACCCAAATTTTTACATGATAAACTTTTTTTTTTCAATTTATCATCATCAGAAGTTTTAAATTTTTTGGCAAAAAAAGTTTTCACATTCTAAAAATGGCTGAAATTAATCAAATATCAATTAACAAACAAATATATTGATAGTATAATCGCCATGCGTAGATCATCAAAACCTCCCACATAATTAAAAATGCAAAAGTCAAGATTTAAATTGAAGTATTCTCTCCCCCTCAACTTGTTACTTGTTTTTGGGCTAATCATGTTACTAAATAAATCCAACGAATAGTAATTCGCTGTCATTTTCAATAAGGCACAAGTTTAGGTTGAAAATTTGAAATGCTCAAAGTGATTATATCTTAGAGACATTAATCTGATAGAACTTGCAGTTTGAAATAATGGCAAATTTGGCTGAAAATAAATAATATTTTTCTATTATTATCTTTGAATTGATCTGTAAAATCAAACATGACTAGTGAGATGGAGAAAATTGTGATGTCTCACTATAAATTATATTGAATTGATGATTGGATTAAGATCCATTGTTGTCCCTGAATTATTTTCATAGGAACTCTAAGTGTTCTAAACTCTTTGTTACAGCAATATCACAATTGAAATATTTAAATTATAGTAATGTTGCCCCTCACATTAAATGGTCAAGTGTTGATCATTAACTTTTGCTAACTCAAACTTAACATGAAGAGTAATATTGTTATGATTTAATTATTTTAAAGGAAATATTGTTATGACTTTATTACTCAAAGGGAAACACTGCTATAACTTGAGTCAAACCTATTTATGAGTCAACAAAGTTAATTGTTAAGGTTTGCCCATTTAATGTCAAGGATAACATTAACATGATTTAATTATAAGATACTTTGAACAATTAAAGGGTTACGTTTCATTGGTGGAAAAAGATGATGGAACAGTAATTGAAATTAAATATAAAAATGCCACATTTTTGGAAAATAAGTT